TCAGTGTATCATTAAAGAGATATCAACAAATTGGTTAAGAAATGCTACCTGACTTCTTTTCCAAGTGGACCCTTGTGTTCAGCCAAATAACTCTTGTTCTCTGTATATAGCAACTGTTTTGAGAAATAAACTCCTGCAAGGTATATCCAAGTTTACATGTCCCATCTAGCCAAGCCAGGGGCTAAGTCAACATACTTCATTATAATCTCCTCTAATAGTTCATAAAAAAAAAAAATACGGCAAAGGACATTTGCCAAATTAGGCTGGGACTTAAGAATTTTTCAGGTCACTCAATTTGTAGCATTAAATAAGTGTGAAATTCTTGCTAGCCACTGATAGGGGCTAATACATATATTTATATTTTACATTCTTGTCTATCACTTTTTTTTAAAGTAAATGAGAATCATCCTTCGCAATTTGCTGTCAGATAATTTTAGTTTTATTTTCGTGAATTTTCTAGTGATATCACTGAGTCTATTATTTTAGCATGTCTTTCATGCTACTATTCATAAGTTCATATAAGTTGTCAGTTCAGCAAAGAAAATTTGACTGAGGGCAAGTCTATATGATTACAGTGAAATGGGTTGCAGTCAAAGTGAATATGGTCTGTCTGGTTTATTATCCTGCTACAAGAGTGGCCAAACCAGTGCTCATGGATAGCAGCTGCATACCTTTACTGTGAAGATCACTCAGGACAAACCAGACAAGCCACATTTTAAAGTCCTGGTGTAGGCTGCAGTTATCACAAAGACTCAAGCTTAGAATGAGCCAATACATGGGAAAGAGGAATGAGGCAACCATTTGAATGCTTCAGAAATGCCACCACCAGTTTTAGGGAAAAAGCCGGAAGATGATTGGATATTGGGGCAAAAGTGAGTTTGTTTTAGCTCTCCAGGTAATTGCTTCAATTCTTCACTTCATTTTGTGTCTATAGACATAACTTATGTGTCCATATGTCCAACTTGCAAAAGAAGCAGAAAATCAAAGTGTATTTTAAGCATCTAAAGATTTTTAACCCTTTTAGAGAAATTGGCTAGTTATCTTTGCTTGCGTGTCAGATCCCCAAGCAGTTCACACCCCAAAGGAGGCTGTGTACTTGATTACAAGATGATAATAAGGTTTAGTACTTTGTCTCTGCAGGCCAACTTTTTCCAAAAGGCAATTAAGCGGGCTCTAACACTGGACCTAGAGTCAAAATAACTTGAGTTGAAATTTGGCCTCAGATATTTTATAGCTCTTTGACCCTGGGCAAGCCACTTAACTTGTTTTCCTCAGTTTCCTTCATTGTAAAATGGGCATAATAATAATAATACCTATCTCCCAGGATTTCTGTAAGGATCAAATGAAATATCTGTAAAGTGCTTAGCACAGTGTCTGGCATGTAACAGGTGCTATAAAGATGCTTAGCCCCTTCCTTCCAAAAGTTCTGCTCAGGGCATTGATGCCATCTGCTCTTTCTGAACCCTTCAGATAAGAGGGTAAGTGGAAACAACTACAAATGAAACCCTCCATCTATTAAACTTTTCAACATTTGGTGCTACAGGTTTAGAGGCCGATCAACTGGCAGTTAACCCCATGAAATTCTTTGCTGGATATCAAATGCTACATGTAAAACCCTGCAAAGTACAAATTCACTTACTTGATGTAACATTCGTATTTTAGGTTTCATCCTAGTGTCTAGTAGTTCTTGATTCGGTAGAAAAAGAAAAACAAAACAAAATAACGCGTTGGCTGAGTTAGGGAAGATGCTTTTCCCCCCTGCTTTGGACCTCTCCTGCTTTCATAGACAGATAGTCAACAATCTCCAGAGCATGCTCCAACATGGCAGAAATTTGGCAGGGCCTTAAGTCTCCTCCTCAAAAGATATAAATGAATGTTTTTAAGTAAGAACTAAGTTGACAGCCATTCTAAGATGACGGCCAAAACACAGAAGACCCTTTCTACAGAACGTTTCTGCAAAAATATCAATCTGAAACAACATCTTAATCAACATAAAAGAATATTTTTCTTAAATGTTCAGTCATTTCAATTATGCTATTGGTTAACAATTACATTGTTAGCTTGTCATATCACCAGAAAGACTTTAGCCATTAGCTCATGTATTCATTTCATTTGTAAAGCAAACTTTTTCAGAGTTTTTTAAGAGAAAGTTTAAGAATTTAAAGTGCCATTGCAGCAAACTGCAGTTCCCTAGTGTGAGATGTTCAGATCTTGAAAGCAACAATCCTTTAAAAACCCCCTCTCAACTAAGGAACAGAGGCCATAGCACTGACTGCTTTCAACTTATACCCGATTTTCCACATTCTCACTAGGCATTCTCATTCAGTGCAAGAATGAACTACCATGTTTAAAAGGTTAGTTGGTAACTTTATTTCCTACTGATCCTTAAACACATTGTCTTTCTTGTGATAGAATATAAATGCTAAATTCTTGCCAACTTTGATTTGATCACCAGTGTCATAAATGCTAGAGGCTTAAGATTCTTATGATTCATAACAGTGTTGCTGCTGTTCAGTTGTTTCAGTCATGTCTGACTCTTTGTGACTCCATTTGGAGTTTTCTCAGTAAAGACACTGGAGTTCTTGGCTATTTCCTTCTCATTTTACAGATGAGGAACTGAGGCAAACAAGGTTAAGTTATTTGCCCAGGGGTCACACAGCTCCTAAGTTCCTGAGGAGAGATTTGAACTCAGGAAGATGAGTCTTCCTGATTCCATGTTCAGTGCTCTACCCATTGTGTCACCAAGCTGCTTCATAACAGAACGGGTGTTCCAATAATTGGGAAGTAGTCCCTGGATTCTGAGAAACAGAATTCTTTCTGGCCATCTTTATACCAGAAAGCACAATATGCATACAGGGTAATGTTACTATCCTGTTTTTATTTGCAAATCTTGAAAACTATGTAGTGTCAAATAACTTTGTGCTGTTCTCACAACTAGATCCCAAACTTGGATCACCGGTTTAATTTGGCTTTAAAAATCATGATATCCAGTAACCCAAACATCAAATTTTTTCACTAAACAAATTCTCAAATAATTTAATCTTTTTCTTGGAGAGGGTTCAGAATAAACCGAAGGTCTTTCACACTACATCTGGGTTTAGGAGGATATAATTCCTCGAAAGTCAATTTTAAAAACAAAACAGCTCTTCCCTCACTCCTATTTATAAAAAAATAAGCCTGCACTAAGACCTTTAAACTTAAGTGATAAATACTCATTTCAGGAAATGATAGATTTAAAAGACAAGTAAATCATTTCCTAGACTTTTGGCATGTCTTTGAAGTAAACAGTTTCTAACCTCAGCAAATGGCAAGAGTCACAAAGTTACAAATCAAAAACCTTATTCAAAATAAGTATCCATAAACATTTTATTCAGTGCCTACTATGTGCTATGCACATAGTATGACACATAGGTTAGAGTGTTCATCTCTTTCATTGAGTTGCCAGCTCTATGCTTACAGGAAGTAATTCCAAAATAACTAGCTATGTGCCATTGTCTACAAAGTGTAAATGAAGCTTTGGCAGATGTCTGGCTAATCTAATCAGTTAAGACAGCCAATCTCCGCTCTTCAAGTGGACTTCTTGGCTTGAATTTTTAAGTTGACACATAGGCTGTGTCTACATAATGGCAAACATCTGAATCAAAACTAAAGAATTCAATTAATCATCCGATGTTTTCAAATATTGGATATTTGGTATGTAGTTTAATTCACAGAGCCAAATATAGTACAGAGATGGGGGGGGCGTCACTATTCAACTGATAAGTTTTTAAGTATGTTTTTTTTTTACAGAGCTGATTATTCAAGGAATGACCTCAAGTTACCAATTTATGCATAAAGTCCAATTATTATTATCATTTTTGGTGGTCTTATGACCTACTCAAGTATTTGAAAGTCTACTTTAAACCCAGCGAAGTGACTAGAACATCAGTAATGATGCACAACATTGACTCCCACCACAAAGACATGTTTTGCTTGAGTCACCAAGGTAAACTGGCTCATTATCTCTTTCACTTTGATAGTGATGGCTTGATCATATGTTAAAAATAAGCTGCGAAAAAATTTTCATCCCTTTAAAATTGTTAGAAATCTCATAGCCAGAATTTTAATCTCACAGAAACAGAGGGAAAAGAAGACAAACAGCCCAGTTTAATTTCAAACGTTAATATATTTTCTATTTTATATTGAACATATGCATCTGTAACCCCTTACTTGCAGCAACTATCACGTCCTCATAAAAGGGGTGAAATTTGTAAGATGCCTCTTAAAATAAATATTCTTCTTCTTTATAAAATAATAAAACTTCAAATAAATATTCTTTACACTAAACAATATGTTGAAAAAAATTAGAAAATAAAGGCTGAATTTTACTGTAACTGTACAATATACATGAAGTCCAAAGGGAAATCAGAGTCTTGCAATAAAGGCTTTCTGTAAGGCAAAATACAATCTAAAAACATACTGATTGATTCACATTCTTCCGAATGTACAACATATTAGTATAATATTTTGTGACTGTGCCATGCATTATGGCACAACTTGTTTTTTCACAGTTGCAAATATTATTGTATATACAAAAATATAGCACATTATCTCTGGCAGAAAACAATGGAAAAAGGAGTCATCTGCTAATTTACAAACTTTGCAAGTACTATTCACAAATGATAAAGTTGCCTAGGAGTGTCTATGTTGCTTTAGCTTATGCAATATGTGGGTCACCAAGTTCTGTATCCCATATTTTGAGCTCCATTAGCTGTGTTCTAACAAGCCTATCAGTTAAGATGGCACACACACAAAAAAAGCATTTCACTGCAAACAGCAAAGTATATCCCAACCCTTACTAACAGTGCCAAGATTATAACTGTTTAGTTGGTTGCATATGTGTTAAGAAAGAGAGGGGAGGGGGAGGGATAAGAGAGGAGGGAGGGGGGGAGAGAGAGTAGGGGGGGGAGAGAGAGAGAGAGAGAGAGAGAGAGAGAGAGAGAGAAAGAGAGAGAGAGAGG